TGCTTGAAAACACCCTGAATGCTTTTTCACTCCCGCAGCTGGTTGTGCAAGCTCGCCTAAGCCCACAGTCTCAGAAGGCCACTCCCCAGTGCCATTTATATTTTTACAATCACCATTAACACTAGGATGGCTCTTAAGACAAATGGAGTCCTGACCCCTGGACACAAATAATGATTTGTAGTAGTGTTACTTTTCTTTCATGAATTATTCCTCTCCTCCTCCTCTGTCATCTTCTGTTCCCAAGGTTAATTCATTCCCTCATTAAGGATTTACTGAGCACTTCTCTGTGCCACTTCCTGTGCAAGGCATTTGAGGACCAGTGGCAGCCAAACTAAGGAGTTTGCTTCTGTGTTTTATAAACAGTTGGTGTTTAATAAATGATGGACGCTCTGTGTTTCTTTTTTTTTTTTTAATTTTAACTTGTCCACATATATTCTCCAAAACGAAGTAAAGGGAGAAAGTACATTTGACAAAAATAAACCTAATTAAATATTTGCCTTCAGGGGGCTCTGTATTGGATACATGGGAATGAAAAGAGTGGCAGTCGTAGTAGGGCAAGAGAAGGAGACAAGGCTGAATCTGTGGGAGAGCTGGGGCTTTGCATGTGCCATCCCAATGTGTCCTTTCAACCATCCCATGAAAAAGAGGTATGATTATTTACTCTTACTTTTTCAATAGAGAAACTGAGGCTCAGGAAGTTTACCTATCTTGCTTAACTGGCTCTTGTGACTTTAAAGCCTCTGACAAGTTCTTAATCATTCCCCTGTAGGATACTGCATCATGTATAGAGAGAAAGGAGAGAAAACGGCCTGCTGTAGTTGGCCTGGATGCTGACACTGGGACCTGCTGCACCTGCACGAGTCACTTGAGAGTGAGGCTCTACCCATTCCCCTATTTCAGTCTGCACTCCTACTCAGACAGCTCACAATGCCAGCGCCTGGGACCCAGGCCCACTGAACCTCTCCAGGCCCGCCTGACGCCCTCACCCTGTGCCTGGGCTCACTCATCCTTCCCATTTTTGGCTTCCGTGCTTCTGCAGCTGCCAAAGGAGTTGGAACTACAAAGCATGGTGAACTTCCCCACAGAAGGAGAACAGTTGACTTTGGCAGTCTCTGGATAGCACATCATTTATTAACTCACTGCATGGCTGTTAACACAGTTATCATAGCTAGCACTGTTGACCATACAGTCTCAGCTTCATAATCTTCACAGCGTCCATGTGTATTGGGCAGATACCCTTATCATTCTCCTCTTACAAATGAAAAAATGGAGGCTTTGAAAGATCAATTAATTTACACAATGAAAAGGAGCTCAGCCTCATTAGCGCTCAGGAAATGCAAATTCAAACTTCAATAAGATCCCTTTTACATGGATCTGAATGGCAAAATTAGTAAATTGGACAATATCTGATATTGATGAGAATGTGGAGCAACAGAAACTTGTACACTCTCTTAATGAGGGCATAACTCACCACTTTGGAGGACAATTTGCCAGTATTTAAGTGAGGCGAGAAAGGGCCCACCTTAGGATTCACCAGTCCCACTCCCCTGTGCTAAAGGCATGTGCCCTGGAGGAGCTGTCACACATGTCCATGAGGAAATCTGCACAGAATTGCCTATGACAGTGTTGTTTGTGATAGCAAAGAATGGAAACAATCTAAATGTCTTTTAAACAAGAGAATGCCTAAATAGATTGCGGTGTGGTTATTACCATGCAGTCCTACACAGCAATACAGTAAATAACCAGAACTAGGCCTATGAAAACAACTCCCAAACATGTTGACCACAAAAAAGCAGGAATCAAGACAATATATACTATGTTGTGCTTTTGTAAGGTTTCACCACATGCAACAGCAGTCCCCAACCTTTTCAGCAACAGGGACTGGTTTCATGGAAGACAATTTTTCCACAGACTAGGGGTTGGGAGGGATGGTTTCTGGATAAAACTGTCCCACTTCAGATCATCGGGCATTAGATTCTCATAAGGAGCACATAACCTAGATTCTTGCAAGCACAGTTCACAATAGGGTTCGCCCTGTGAGAATCTAATGCTGCCGCTGATCTGATGCAGGTGGAGCTCAGGCAGCAATGCTTGTCCGCTGCTCACCTCCTGCTGTGCACCAGTTCATGGCCCAAGGGTTGGAGACCCCTGACATGCAAAACAATGCTTAGAAATATGTACATACATAGCAAAGGTATAGGCTGGGTGCAGTGGCTTATGCCTGTAATCCCAGCACTTTGGGAAGCCAAGGCAGGCGGATCACTTGAGGTCAGGAGTTTGAGACCAGCCTGACCAACATGGTGAAATCCCATCTCTACTAAAAATACAAAAATTAGCTGGGTGTGTTGCAGGGAGCCTGTAGTCCCAGTTACTCAGGAGGCTGAGGCATGAGAATCACTTGAACCTAGGAGGTGGAAGTTGCAGTGAGCTGAGACCAAGTCAGTGCACTCAAGCCTGGGTGACAGGGCGACTCTGTCTCAAAAAAAAGAAAAAGGTATAAATGATGGACACTGGAATAAAACAGCAGATCAGGACACTGGTTACCTTGGGGAAGGAAGGGGCAAACCATAGGGAGACAAACACAGGGGACTTCAACCGTATTGCTGAAGTTTTATTTTCCACACTGGGTGATAGGTTCAGAGATGTGGTTGTGTTAATTTTGATGCCTTTTGTATGTTTCAATAATCTCGTATTTCAGTTTTAAAAATTTCTCAAGGCCTCATCGTTAGTCAGTAGAGGAGCCAAGTTTAGGGCCCACCATGAACACATGGTTCCCTCCCAATCCATCACAGTACCTAGCGGAGGAGGGAGGCAATGGAAGGGGAATATGGAAAAGGAATGTTACTCATTCCACCTATTCTTTCTGCAGACCTTAAAAATGCAATTGGTTAATGACAAATCTTTCACTGCATAGTGAGGCAGCCTTGAAAACTATGGTATTAAATATTAATAGCTTGAATTATGTTTTTCTGTTGCTTTGTATTATTATTTAGACCTATCTTTCCATAAAAATATTGCAACAAAATCTAATAAAAGCAACAAAGGGATTTCCACATTCATTTCAAATGTCTTTATTGATGCAGAATCCTATAGCTATTTCATTCTCCCACACAGATCTATCAAATAGATAATGACCTGCGCTCTCCATTTAAAGCAGCCTTACACTAAAATGTTCTACAAAGTTTGTCCCTATTTTGTTGAGAGTTCTCACTAAATTTATGAATTTGAGAACTGAACAGGAACTCCTTCACTTCCTCACTTATCTGAATATTAATAAATATCCATTGAATACCCATCAATTGCATGGTAGTCTGCTAGATGCTGCTGAAATAGTAGTGAGCCAGACAGGCCCTGTCCTGAAGAAGCTTTCAGTTTCCTAGAGGAGACAGACAAGTAGAACAGGTGTTATAAGGCAACAAGATAAGACATGGTGATGGGTGTATGCTTGGCCTCCTATGGAGGAGCATGTCAGATCTGGGTAAGACTCTTAGTGGGGTGCTATTTCAGCTGAATACCAAAGGATGAGTGGGAATTGACTTCGGGGTAAGAAAGCAATTTATATATTCCTTTTGAGAGGATTCAGTAGTCTTATTGTAGACTTCCCATTGTCAACCGAAGTAGAGGAGAGAAATAAATATTTTAAAGTATCTCTTAACCTGAGAAAAAAGAGCTGTAGTTTGATTGAAACAGAAGGATTTTCTTCAGGTGCAGCTCACTGTCCTTTCTCTGTGTGCTCAAAACCAATCACAATTGGGTAAACTGAATTTCTACTACCCTTTGTTAAATGTACAAATATACTCCTAAGTGAGTATGTTGGGGGCAGATGCACCTGCAAGGAGAGCATAATCACCCCAATTTTATTCCCTGTTTTAAAAATCCTGCTTGACCTAGTTACCCAGGAGAAGAAATCTAATCTTAGCTTCTCTGCACACACAGAAGGATCATACCATAGACTAGGAAGTGTAGGGGAAGGAAGGTATTAACGTAGCATCTTTCAGCCATGCTGATTCCATTTAATTCCCTCAAATCCCACATTCATCATTGTGATTGGATAATTTGCCTTGGACTTATTTTAAACTTGAGCATCTAATTTGATTAGGTGGGATTTTCTGAGACTAGATTTCCAAAAGTTGCTGAAGAGACATGGCCAGGAACTCATGCTCTCAAATGAAAACCAACCTCCTAGAATCTCAATCCCACTAGATAGAAGGAGACACAAATAAATCAGATAAGATATAAAACGAAGATCTCAATGTTTATTAATTACAATAAAAAGTAAAATCACAGAGCTTTTTTAAAACTAATGTAACCATTTTTTTAAAAAAGAAACTATTTAAACAAGAAAATGATTTTTAAAAATTCTAAGAAATCTAGTACAAGCAAAGATGACATTTTAAAGTATCATCAATGAATTTCCACACAGCCTTTCCATCACAACAATATACATTTATACCTTCAATCTTATGCAGCAACAAAGACACAGTGAGAAAGACAGCAATTGCTTCTGAAAGAAAATCAAAGAAGTCTAGAGCGGTGATTTTTTTCTAAAGGATCCCAGGGAGTCGAATAAGGCCTGCTTCTCCATGGGTTGACAACGTTTGGCTGTGAAAGGAATGGCAGCCTCCTTCCCTCTGATTTTACCTTTGAAGAGAATGAAAGGAACTCACTGGAACATTCTCCCTCACAAAGAGATGCAGAATTCAAACCGAGCCCCCAAGAAATGCTATAATCAAAGTAAACACTAATCCTGCTCCTATAAATGTCATTAATAGCATGTTATAGCATTCAATCACATTTCTTTCTCTTACTAATCTTTCCCTGAATTTTTAACAAAATCATCCTGGATTAGAAGAATAATTCTGGTAGTCTGAAAATGACAAAAAGGTTGAGACCTTGGGCTAGGTAGTCTTGTTAAACACACACCGTTCAATAATGAAAGAACATCGCATGTAGCACAGAGGGCTTTGCCATTCAAGCCCTCATTATCCAAATCCCTGCAGGAACAGGATTTATGCAGGGAACAAGAGGTTGTCAAAATGTGAAAAGGTGCAGTGCTTCAGTATGTAGAAAGCCAGACCGTTGTCAAACTGTGCCTCTCATTAACACAAATGTCTAACCAGGTCCATTAGGTCAACCTCTGGGGTTAAGTCTTGTGCAGATGGCCACGTGTTGAAATGTCTGAAAACATATCACACATTAAAAAAAAAAAAAAATTAAGAGTCTAGCAAAATTGCAAAACTGGCAAAACATGTAGATTTCATGAAGTTAGTGGAAGTGATATTAGGGAGATGCTAAAATTACAGCAAAGCCACTGTTAAATGGGGATCTGAGAGAACAGGACCAGAAGACAACTGAAGAAAGAAAATTGACAAGGACGATGATACTAGACACTTCAGAAAAGAAAGATCAGCCTGTCAAAAGACAGAGAAAACTGATGAAGTGCTCAAATACTTTTGCAAAAATGACTGTATCTGTAATATTATTTCCAGAACTAATTGTGAAATAATCAGATACTATCGAAGAATTTTCCTGGAGGATTATACCCCCTAAAGCAACATTTTATTCATTTTTCATTTATTCTAAATTGTAGAATACCATTGTATTTACAATATGAAGATGCGTTTCTCCAGATAAGGTCCTAATCCATTTGTAAATTTTGACCATGAAATTGTACTCCCTGTCTTAAGTAGTTCCCTCTGTATGCTATCAGCCTCCTTGCTGCATCTTGCTCATAGTTGATTCCCCAAGGCTGTATTGAATGTTTCCTAACATCTCAAAGAATGACTTTCTAGCAAGCCCAAGGCCTACTACAATCTGGAAGCCTTATCTAAATGCTCTGCTTTGATCAGTCGTCCCTGGGCTCAATTGTCCTTGAGTCTTAGATCACTGTGAAGCATCTGACCTTGGTCTCTTCAACTCTTATGAGGAGAGATGCTAATTTCATATGCTCTCATGCAGGAAGACTTTTCTCGTCCACAGTCCCTTACCGACAGCACACACTTCAGGGTTGGGCCTGTTTCCTGGTCCCCACTGTGGCATCTTCTTTTGTCACTCTGGATTTCAGTGTGGCGACTTCTCCCTTATAGGGTGCACGCTCCACGGGGGTAGGTGTGCAAGTCTGAAAAAGAACATTTCATTTCTCTTTTGTGGTTTATTTTCTTGAGTTCAAAGTTAAGTGTAGCTCCCTTTAATAATTGTGAGAGCAAAAAAACCATCTTGTAAATTTATCACATGCCTCCCCATCCCCTTGGCCTTTCAAAGAAATTCCTGGCAACCTTGAGAATCTGGATTGTCCCACTTTTTGTGGGTACTAATCTGCAACAGACAGAGGCCCAGGGACACTCACTGGGGCCTCTGCCATATCCTCATGCCCTTCTGAGTCCCACAATTGTCTCCTACTGTCCTTTCCAACATCTGACTTTTTCTTCTAGCTCCAATCCTACTTGCCTGAGTTTGCAGTGCTTCTTTGTACCTCTCCTAACACTCAGAGCAGTTGCTTCAGGTTCTAGCAATTGTGTGTGCTTTCCCCTTTCCTGACTGTCTCTGTGCATTATGAATTGTCCACAGAATCTCACCTCGTTGGTGACCGACTATGCAGCAGAACCCTCTGCTGGATTCAGCTAGAGCTGTCAGTGCTTGAGCAGAGTTTTGAAATCACACACACACACACACACACACACACACACACACACAGATAACAAATTACTGTGGGTCTCATCTTGACCACCAAAACTAATACATTGTAGTGATCAACAGTGTGACCTTTGAAGTGAGACAGATCTCAGTTAGAATTCTCCATTTGCCATTTACTCCGTGTAGGAAACTGACAAGTTAATTAATGCCTCCAGGCCTACTTCCTCATCCATGAAATGGGGGAAATAAACCTATCTCTCAGATAGCTGAGAATTTCCAGAGCCAAGCATTTTCTTCATTCATTCCGCAGATATTCACTGAGCTCACACAGCCCCAGAGAGTATGCCAAACACCAAGGATCCAACACAGAACAAGGCCCGCAGCCCCTGCAGCCACAGAACTTGAAGCCCAGCACCAGGTGGGCAACTGAGTGCTCAGGAAATGGCGGAACCCCTGCCCTTCCCTCAACAGGCTGCCCACTTTCTGTATCTGTCTAAATGCTTTGCTGGACTTCCATTTTGGCTCACTAGCTACTCAGTCCTTGATCCCTGTCATCAGCTTGAGGAACACAGACACCAGGAAATGAAGCGCCACCCTCCCGTTTCTACCACCTTGGAGCACCACATCTGAAACCTTAAACTCACCTAATACCCCACTCTCTGGCCGCATCCTCCCTTTCAGGTCCTTGGTCCCTGTTTTTTTTTGTTTTTTTTTCCCTCTCCTGGCTTTACTTTCCAAGCCAGACTGCATGAATATCACTTAAACCTGGGGTGACTGTACAATTTATCATCCAAAGTAGGACACTTCTGAACATGAAAAGGGCACTAAACATAATTAACATAAGTATAATCCAGGCCCATCCGAGCAAACCAAGATTTATGTCCTTCTTTCAGCTCGTTCCTGCCTATCACCTAGAGGGCTTGCCTCCTCTATGCTCCTCTTGGCATTCATACTCAGCAAAGCCTATGGCATTCAAAGCCTATTGATTTCAGTTCAATCTTCAGGCTCTTCTGCAGTGAGCGCCTCTGGAGCATGTGACCTAAGTGAGCAGACTTTTGTGCTGCCTACTGTGTGCTGTATAGCCCTCCTCAGATCCCACTCCGTCTCCCTCTTCCTACGCTACTTCCTTGAACCTACACTACTTGGGATTTTCAGCTGTTCATTTTTTGTCTGTCCTGGACTCCTTCTTGGGAACTGACTGCCCATGCCGGTGACTCAGGTGGGGCCATCACACACAGGGCCTGTCCTCTTCACTCAGGGCTGGGTTTGCTCTACAGGCTGCTCCATCACCTAGAGGATGCTTCCCCAGAACCCAGCTTGCAGGCTCTGGGAACATGCACCACCCACTCCAGGCACATCAGAATCCTTCCTGGTAGCTCCTGGTCAGGGCCATGCTTTTGCATGGGCTAGGCTGCCGCTCTCACTGTTGTGTAATTATCTGACTTCTCTTTTATTACTCAGCTCAGCTAATCATCAGTCTAGGAAACTTTGGCCCTCTGTGCCCTATGCACTATCTTGCTTACCCCAGGTTTCTGGAATAATCTGTACACTTGTCAGTCTCCCCCAGCAGACAGAGGGCTGGTGTGCTACTCTCCTTCTCCATAACAAGCACTCAATAGATATGGGTAGAAGGGATTTTGGGGGAGGGAGGTATGAAGGGGGCTTCCCATCTAAGCCTGCTTTCTTCTTTTTGTGGTTTGGCCTGGCCTGGGCTGACTCAGTTTCTGTCATGCTCTTTTGTTGTGCTGCATCATTTATCTGTTCTCCAGGCTGTACTCTTCTTTTCTTTCTTTTTTTTTTTTTTTTCTTTTTTTGAGATAGAGTTTCACTCCGTCACCCAAGCTGGAGCACAGTGGCACGATCTCGGCTCACTGCAAACTCCACCTCTTACATGCACACGATTCTTATATCTCAGTCTCCCAGGTAGCTGGAATTACAGGTGCACACCACCATGGCCAGCTAATTTTTGTATTTGTAGTAGAGACAGGGTTTCGCCACTTCGGCCAGGCTGGTCTTGATGACTTGACCTCAAGTCATCCACTTGCCTCAGTCTCCCAAAGTGCTGGGATTACAGGCGTGAGCCACTGAGCCTGGCCTGGGCTGTAATTTTTCTGTGGCCGGCTGCCTACAAACTGCTTTCTGGCTGTTCAGTCATGGAGCCAGTCATGTCCGGCTTGTCACCCTGGTCACGCTGACCATCACACGTCTCTGACTCGACTGGCCGGGTCTAACCTGCATACCGTCTCTCTCTTGCCTGCCTCTGAGGCTCTGGGTGGGCCAGGTCTGCTTTCCTCTCAGAATAGCCGTGGATGGGAGCCACACCTGCGTGCACGGCCACCTCCGAAACAAGCAGCCGCCTGTCAGGAGTCTTGTGCTGCCTCACACTCCACAGTCTTTCCCTTTGATAGATAAGTTGACAGAAATCAAAGACAACTTAAGTTCTAGTCTCAAGCCTCTCAGCCCTTTTAACCCTTTAATATTTGCTCATCCTTAGAAGTGGGTCACATAAGCTCTATGATGGCTAGATTCATGCCTTCTTCATCTTTGTGCTGTCTGTCGCTCCTGGCATTGTTCTCTGGGCATGTTTTAGGACATCACTAGATGTTCACTGTGACAAAATGGAAAAGTGATGGCACTCCTTCTGCAGAATCTGAAACCGTCACTGCTGTTATTCAAAAGTTCAGCTGCACATTTGTTTTCTAAGTAGACTTAACCTCCAACACTTAGCAATGCTTGTCTTATTCCTTCTCTCTAACGACAATGGCAAACCTCTGTCTGAAGTATGAACTGCCCAGCCTGACACAGACCCCAGCATATGGCAGAGCCATTGCTTAATGCATGTACTTGACACTAGCAGTCAGGGTCAAAATAAAGTGAGCCTCTTTCTCTGGCATCCTAGATGAGTATGGTGATAATAAAGACTCCATTGCTATTCTCCTGGCCAAAAGCATACCTAATTCTTAGAGGACATTTATGCAGCATAAAACACAGAAAAAAACCAGGATGAAGAAACAGAGTATTCTGGATTGAACAAAGACAGCAGGTTTCTCTTCTCGCCTTCTGGGACTCCATGTTCTCCTGATGGTCTTCCTGCCTCACTGGTCAGCCTTCTCAGGCTCCACTGATGCTTGCTCTTCTCCTCCACCTCTGAAGGTTGGTGGGCCCAGAGCTCTGTTGTAAGCCCACTTTCTTCTCTAATATAGTCTCCTTGGTGACCTTAGACTCGCGGTTTTAAATCTATATGTTATGATTCCCGAATTTTATCTCCAGCTTTGATGTCTCTTGATCTCCAGACTCCTTTATCTCCTTTGTGCTCATTGGCTACAGCACAAAGAGGTGTAAAATTGTCTCAAACACAACTAGAACATAAGCACCATGAACCACAGTTGAAACAAGTAGAATGTAAGCTCTTTGTGATCAGACTGGCTGTCTTATTAATGCCTATATCCTCAGGATCTGGAATAGTGGCTGGTGCTCCACAAACATTTGTTAAATGAGGGGAGATTTCTTGACTGTAGGACCTGTTGAAATTTTTGATGATATTGGGCAATTGTATCACCTGAGGGTAACATAATCTAAAATTATTTGACAGCTTTCTCAAGGAATACTTCAAGAGACTCAAGTCCTGAGAACACACCATTGGAAGGCTAATCTGATTATGGGGGTTTTTTTTCCCCCTAGTACATGCTGGTCAAGATTAGATGATCACACCTTGACAGCAATTCTTTCCATCTTGATGGTATCACAATCAAATAAAATGACTTGAGGGTAAAACCACGAGTGGTCGTTGCTGTGGTTTGAATGTTTGTCCCCTCTCAAACTCATGTTAAAATTGAATTGCCATTGTAACAGTATTAAGAGGTGAGACTTTTAATAGATGGTTAGGCCATGAGGACTCTGCCTTTATGAATGGATTAATGCTGTTATCTTGGGAGTGGATTCCTTATCAAATGACAAGTTTGGTCCCTTTGGCTCTCCCCCTTCTCCTCTCTTTGCCCTTCTGCCATGTGATGCCTTCCTCGGTGGGATGACACAGCAAGAAGGCCCTCTCTAGATGCCAACTCCTCACTCTTGGACTTCACAGCCCCCTGAAATGTGAGCTAATAAATGTCTGTTCATTATAAATTAACCAGCCACAGATATTCTGTTATAGCAGCACGCACAAAATATAAGTCATACAGAAGACATAAGTGGCATCTCGCCTAGCAGGACATTGGTGGTTTACTTTGGTAAATGAGAATTGAACTTGAGTTCTCGGTATCTGATGATACTTGTCATTGTGACAAATTAATAGAGAGATGGAAATGATAATTATATAATTTGTGGTTCTATAAATAAACATTAATTCCAATTATCATTACACTTTCATAATTGCAGAAATGCTTTTTGGTTAGGTAAACAAGGAAAAACGAAGACATAAGTTGATAGTAAATTTAGTCATATTGGGCTCGGCATGATGTCTCACACCTCTAATCCCAGCACTTG